GGAAGCTCAACTCCACCACAAGGAAAGATCAATTCCCCTTGCCGTTCATTGATCAAATGCTTGAAAGGAGCATATTTATGCGAGTTAGTTAGCTTGTTTTCTTGCATTTATGTTATTAGTTCCTAGTTATTTTAGTATTTTAAGCTATTTTCGTGTGTTTGTATGTCCAAAGGGCTAAAGTAGCAAGAAAGTGCAATTTGGTGCATTTTGGAGTAGTTTTGGGCTTGGAATGGATAGCACATGCTTGGAGCAAGGTGGATGGACAAATTTGAAGTTCAAAGGAGGCTAGGTATGAGCAAAGAAATGAAGGAAATCAATTCAAGACAAAGAAATCAAGGAATCCAGCAAGAAAGAAAGAATGTTAACCAAGTTACCTTATTTTGTCCTAATCCTTTCCTAATCCTACACCACCTAATTTCCAGCTCCAAAGAGGATCCTTAATTATTCTAGGACACTTAAATAATGATTCTAGAAGACCTAAACTCATTCCTATAAGGTTCTATACCACCTTTCCCTTTCCCTTTCCCTTTCCCTTGCCGTGCAAGGCAAAGACCTTTCCCTTTTCTTTTCCTGCCGCATATCCCTTTCCCTTTCTCTCTTGGATTCTGACATTTAATTACCCTTTTTCGGTGTACAAATATGTCTCCAAAATTATGTAGTGTTTGAACTCTTTTTCCCAATATGTATTAAACCTTGCCGCACCATTCATACATCATATCCTTCATCATCCTATCTTTTATCCTACTCACACCAATCATCCAATCCACTCAACCCTTCACCCACACCTTGTGCCATAGCAAAGAAGAAGAAAGAGGACCCTTGGACGTTCTTGCCATTCAAACTTAGATTGCTGGAACTTTTTTAGGTGTAATCCATCTTTTGTTTTCAATGTTTAAGTTTAATTATCTTTGTTTTGCGAATATGAGGAGCTAAACTTGTTTTAGCTAGAGGAGAATTCAAAACCATTTTGCCCTAATCATTTCCTAATCCTACACCACCAAATTTACAGCTACAAAGAGGATCCTTAACTATTCTAGGACACTTAAATAATGATTCTAGAAGACCTAAACCCATTCCTATAGGGTTCACACCACCTTTCCCTTTCCCTTTCCCTTACCGTGCAAGGCAAAGACCTTTCCCTTTTCTTTTCCTGCCGCATATCCCTTTCCTTTTCTCTCTTGGATTCTGACATTTAATTACCCTTTTTCTTTAAGGATTTGGTGTACAAATCTGTCTCCAAAATTATGTAGGGTTTAAACTCTCTTTCCCTATATATATTAAACCTTGTCGCACCATTCATACATCCCATCCTTCATCATCCTATCTTTCATCATACTTCACACCAATCATCCAATCCAGTCAACCCTTCACACACACCTTGTGCCGCTGTAAAGAAGAAGAAAGAGGACCCTTGGACGTGCTTGCCATTTAAGCTTGGATTGCTGGAACATTTTTAGGTGTAATCCATCTTTTGTTTTCAATGTTTAAGTTTAATTATCTTTGTTTTGCAAACATGAGGAGCTAAACTCGTTTTAGCTAGAGGAGAATTCAAAACCATGAACATATTTTGTCTTAATGCTTTCCTAATCCTACACCACCTAATTTCCAGCTGCAAAAAGGATCCTTAACTATTCTAGGACACTTAAATAATGATTCTAGAAGACCTAAACCCATTCCTATAGGGTGCCGCACCACTTTTCCCTTTCCCTTTCCCTTGCCATGCAAGGCAAAGACCTTTCCTTTTTCTTTTCCTGCCGCATATCCCTTTCCCTTTCTCTCTTGGATTCTAACATTTAATTACCCTTTTTCTTTGAGGATTTGGTGTAGAAATCAGTCGCCAAAATTATGTGGCGTTTGAACTCTCTTTCCCTATATATATTAAACCTTGCCACACCATTCATACATCTCATCCTTCATCATCCTGCCTTTCATCATACTTCACACCAATCATCCAATCCACTCAACCTTTCACCCACACCTTGTGCCACAGCAAAGAAGAAGAAGGATGACCCTTAGACGTGCTTGCCATTGAAGTTTGGATTACTGGAATGTTTTTAGGTGTAATCCATCTTTTGTTTTCAATGTTGAAGTTTAATTATCTTTGTTTTACGAACATGAGGAGTTAAACTCATTTTAGCTAGAGGATAATTCAAAACCATGAACATATTTTGTCCATATTTTGTCCTAATCCTTTCCTAATTCTACACCACCTAATTTCCAGCTGCAAAAAGGATCCTTAACTATTCTAGGACACTTAAATAATGATTCTAGAAAGCTTAAACCCATTCCTATAGGGTGCCGCACCACCTTTCCCTTTCCCTTGTTGTGCAAGGCAAAGACCTTTCCTTTTTCTTTTCCTGCCGCATATCCCTTTCCCTTTCTCTCTTGGATTCTGACATTTAATTACGCTTTTTATTTGAGGATTTGGTGTAGAAATCAGCCTCCAAAATTATGTGGGGTTTGAACTCTCTTTCCCTATATATATTAAACCTTGCCGCACCATTCATATATCCCATCATTCATCATCCTATCTTTCCTCATACTTCACACCAATCATCCAATCCACTCAAACTTTCACCCACACCTTGTGCCACAGCAAAGAAGGAGAAGGAGGACCCTTGCACGTGCTTGCCATTGAAGTTTGGATTACTGGAACGTTTTTAGGTGTAATCCATCTTTTGTTTTCAATGTTTAAGTTTAATTATTTGTGTTTTGCGAACTTGATGAGCTAAACTCGCTTTAGCTAGAGGAGAATTCAAAACCATGAAGATATTTTGTCCTTATTTTGTCCTAATCCTACACCACCTAATTTCCAGCTACAAAGAGGATCCTTAACTATTATAGGACACTTAAATAATGATTCTAGAAGACCTAAACCCATTCCTATAGGGTGCCGCACCATCTTTCCCTTTCCCTTGTCGTGCAAGGCAAAGACCTTTCCATTTTCTTTTCCTGCCGCATATCCCTTTCCCTTTCTCTCTTGGATTCTGACATTTAATTACCTTTTTTTCTTTGAGGATTTGGGGTAAATCTGTCTCCAAAATTATGAAAGGTTTGAACTCTCTTTCCCTATATATATTAAGCATTGCCGCACCATTCATTCATCCCATCCTTCATCATCCTATCTTTCATCATACTTCATGCCAATCATCCAATCCAGTCAACCTTTCACCCACACTTTGTGCCACGGCAAAGAAGAAGAAGGAGGACCTTTGGACGTGCTTGCCATTCAAGCTTGGATTGTTGGAACATTTTTATGTGTAATCCATCTTTTGTTTTCAATGTTTAAGTTTAATTATCTTTGTTTTGCGAACATGAGAAGCTAAACTCATTTTAGCTAGAGGAGAATTCAAAACCATGAACATATTTGCAATATGAATTAATTACTTCCAGTTGTGATTTCATAAATCATGAATGCAATTTACTTAACTGTTTGATTCATAACTTATTCTATTTTGTTGATTAAGGATGCATACTTAGTTTGCATGCATGAATTTAATGCTAGAATATAAGGGAGTTTCAACTAATTGTTATGAACTTATATTCATAAGTAGTGGAGATTGTTAGTCACAATCGTGTTAAGTAAATTCCTAGCAGGAGTATCATGTTGTTCATAGTTACGAATGCCTTGTCAATGCTTATGATTTTCACAAAGCTTAATGATCTTTAATTGTATTTCTATTATGCTGCTCATGTAAGGAACTATTGAAGAATAATTTGGTTGCTGATGTGTTATCCATCCAATTTAATGACTTAAGGAAAATCTAGGGGTTAATTAGTGTTGTTCACGGTTAATCTAAGGCGTTGAGGTTCATGGTTATTGGAAAAGCGACTGGAAATCGATTTGTATGCAAGTGTGTCATGTGTGGAGAAGAACACTCTAGCTAGCCAATCACCCATAAATTCCCCCAATTTGATGCCAAACTTGTTTAAGTCTTTAATCTACTTGTCTTTACTTTAAATTCATCAAAAACCCAATCCCCTTTACTTTGTTGGGTCAAATTAGTTAGAATTTGTCCAAACTTGTGTTTTTAAGTGTTTTGAGTCAAGTTAAAATCAATTTTCGTCCAAATCACCCTTTAGTGTCTAGTTTGAGTCTGTTTGATTATTTTGTATTGTTCTGAGTCTCTTTAGTTTGTTTCGAGTTCTTTGAGTCTATTTAAGTGTTTTCAAGCCTAGTTTTGTGTTTTTGAGTTAGTTTTAAGTAGATTAGCAATCCCTCCTAATCCCTAGCCTAGAACGATCCCTACTTACATCTTTACTACAATTGTCAATAAGATGGTTTAATTTGAGTGCTAGTTTATGTCACATCAAATTTTTGGCGCCATTGCCGGGGATTAGCAACTTTGCTAATCCCCCTTGTTTCTTTTCCGTGTATTTTGTTTTAGTTTCTGTGTTTGTTTTGTTTTCTTGTTTTTAGGTACTAGTTTATGACTTGAAGCTCTCAACAGGTTTGTGAACATATCTTTGATTTTGACGACGATTTTGAACGAACTTTGAGAAGGAAGAAAAATCAACAAGAATCTAATCCACCAAACCCTGAACCCAAGCTTGAAGAAGAATAAGTAGAAGAGGAAGAAGAGGCCACGGCTCAGGAATTCGAGGAAGCACAAGTCATGGCAGCGGACAATTAAACAATCAAGGAACTCTCAGCTTCGGGATTGGACAATGTTGTGCCTCTATGCATTCAATATCCCACGGCAGCTCAAGGCAAGACCGAAGAGTTCGAGTTGAAGTCCAGTTTGCTGCATCACATTCCAAAGTACCATGGGCTGTCCATGGAGGATCCAAATAAGCATTTGAAGGAATTCGAAGTGGTTTGTTCAAGCATGACCCCAGTCAATGTTGATAGAAGCATATTGAAGATGAAAACTTTTCCATTCTCTTTTTTGGAAAAGGCTAAGGATTGGTTGTACGAATTGGCACCCGGAACCGTCACTTCTTGGGAAAGCATGAAGAGAGCATTTTTAGAGAAGTTATTTCCAATGTCAAGAGTCATTATTTTAAGGAAAAGGATTAGTGGCATTCAACAAAATCAAGGAGAATCATTTCTGACGTATTATGAGCGTTTCAAGACTCTCGTTGCATCATGTCCTCAACATCAAATGAAAGAAGAGCTTCTCCTTCAATATTTCTATGAAGGACTTCTTCCAATTGAAAAACATATGCTAGATACCTCAGCGGGAGGAGCTTTGGTTGACAAAACACCCATTACTGCCAAGACCCTAATTGCCAACCGAGCCTTGAATGCACAACAATACGAAGGAGTTGGACAGAGAGATCCCCCACGGCAGCAACATGTGAATGAGTTAAGTGCAATTTCTGAAATTCAATCTTAATTAGCTAATCTCACTCTTCTTGTGTCACAGGCTGTTGAAAGACCCAAAGTGCAAAAACATACAATTTGTGGCGTGTGCTACAAGGACACCAATCTGAAAAATACCCTCAATTGATCAAGAATGGAGGATGGGAAAATGCCAACACCATTGGGTTTCAAGGCCAAAATCAGCCCAAATATGATTCATACGCTAACATTTACAATCCGGGCTGGAGAGATCATCCAAATACGAAGTGGAGGGAGTTTCAACAACCTCAACAACAAGGAGGATTTTGACCACCACCCCCTGGGATGTTTCCAAGGCCATACGCACCAACACAACCCCAACCCTAATCTGCCCAACAAAAATCAGGTTCGTCCATAGATAATGATCAAATTGTTCAATTATTAACCACTGTGGTGCAAGGAATGCAAAATCAAGCCAAAAAGGTGGATGAATTGGATAAGCAAATGGGGCAAATGGCGGAATTCATGGGCCAATTCCGAGAGCAAGGCAGATTGCCTAGTTCAACGGTTGTCAACCTGAAGGGAGGATTTGAATCTGCAAAGGCCATCATGTTGATTAGTGGAAGAGAAGTTGGAACTGACCCAAAACCATCCAAATTAAGCGAAAATGAGGACGAGAAACTGCAATTCAAGGAAGAGGAACAAGGCAAAGCCACGGCAAGGATTGAGCAATCCTTGCCGCAGCCCCCTACACTACCTAATCCGTCCAACCTAGGTAAGATAGGTTCAAGTTCGATTAATTCTAACCCTATTCCACCAAATGTACCTTTCCCTCGTAATTTTATGCAATCAAAGAAGGAAGAGAGTGGCAAGGACATTCTTGAGACGTTTAGGAAGGTACAAGTCAATATCCCACTCCTTGATGCAATCAAACAAGTCCCAAAGTATGCTAAATTCTTGAAAGAACTTTGCACAACAAGGAAGAGGATTTTGAACAAGGAAGTGATAAGGGTAGGTGAGAATGTTTCAGCTATCTTGCAACGAAAACTGCCCCCTAAATGCAAAGATCTGGGTAGTTTTACAATTCCTTGTGTTATTGGCAATACTCAGTTTGAACATGCCATGTTAGACTTAGGTGCATCCATTAATGTCATGCCCTATTCTATTTATGTATCTATGAACTTAGGAAAGCTGAAAAATGATGGTGTTATTATCCAATTGGCCGATCGTTCTAATGCATATCTAAAAGGAATTTCGGAAGATTTTTGGTGCAGGTTAATCACTTAATCTTCCCCGCTGACTTCTATGTACTTGAAATGGAAGATTCAGATCGTCCTCATCCATTGCCAATCCTACTTGGAAGACCATTCATGAAAACAGCCCGCACCAAGATCGATGTGTTGAAATGGACGTTGACAATGGAATTTGATGGCGATGTTACTGATTTTAATATTTCTGAAGCCATGAGGTATCCTAGTGATGATCATTCTTGTTTTTCTATTGATATAATTGATTCATTGGCGCAACAATACCTTGAAGATTTGAATGAGGATGCCCTTGAAACAACCATTACGAAAGGAATGGGCCTTAAAAACAAAGGAGCATGACCTATGCTCACCCACGGCATGCATGAAGACATCCTTGCCTAACCGTATCCAAACCGGTTGGAGAGTTTGCATTGATTGTAGGAAGCTCAACACCACCACAAGGAATGATCACTTCCCTTTGCCGTTCATTGATCAAATGCTTGAAAGGTTAGCTAGTCATGTATTTTATTGTTTTCTTGATGGTTATTCGGGTTATAATCAGATTGTCATAGCACTGGAAGATCAAGAAATACCACTTTCACTTGCCCATTTGGTATGTTTGCTTATCGTCAAATGCCATTCGGTTTATCCAATGCACCAGCCACATTTCAAAGATGCATGGTAAGTATTTTTTCAGATTATGTTGAAAAGATCATTGAAGTCTTCATGGATGATTTTAGTGTTTTTGGTGATTCGTTTGATGATTGCTTGGCTAATCTTACCTTAATCTTGAAACGATGCATTAAAACTAACCTTGTTTTAAATTGGGAAAATGTCATTTTATGGTAAAACAAGGCATAGTTTTGGGTCACATAATCTCTGAAAAAGGAATTGAGGTTGATAAATCAAAAATAGATCTTGTATGCTACTTACCATCTCCTACTTCCGTGATGGAGGTTCGTTCTTTCCTTGGACATGCAAGATTCTATAGACGGTTCATCAAGGACTTTTTGAAGATATCCCACCTCTTTGCCGTCTTCTTCAAAAGGATGTGCCATTTAACTTCAACGAGGAATGTAAGAAAGCCTTCAACCACCTCAAAGAATTGCTCACTTCGGCCCTTATCATAATTCCACCAGATTAGAGCCTTCCTTTTGAGCTCATGTGCGATGCCTCAGATTTTGCAATTGTAGCTATTTTAGGCCAAAGGAAGAGCAAGCAGCCACATGTCATCTATTATGCCTCCCGGGCCTTGAATGATGCCCAATTGAATTACTCCACCACTGAAAAAGAACTCCTTGTTGTTGTGTTTGCATTAGATAAGTTTCGTTCTTATTTACTTGGTGTTAAAGTCATTGTTTATTCTGATCACGCAGCTTTGAAGTATTTGCTTACGAAGAAAGAAGCAAAACCAAGGCTTATTCGCTGAATGCTTCTTCTCCAAGAGTTCAATATAGAAATTAAGGACAAGAAAAAGAGTGAAAACGTGGTGGCTGACCATTTGAGCCGTTTGGTGCATGACGAGGAGTCCTTACCCATTCTAGAAACATTTCCAGATGAGCAGTTGTTGTCCATTGAGGTAAGTGAGCCATGGTATGCAGATTTGGTGAATTATTTAGTAGCTAAACAAGTTCCAAGCACCCTAAACAAGCACCAACGTGATAAACTCAAAAAGGATGCATGGTTTTATGTGTGGGATGACCCATACTTGTGGAAATATTCCCCTGATCATATTTTATGTAGGTGTGTGCATGAGTCCGAATTTGATTCAATTTTAACTTTCTGTCACACTTATGCATATGGGGGTCATTTTGGCACCCAAAGGACAGCACTTAAGGTTCTTGAATGTGGATTTTATTGGCCTACTCTATTTAAGGATGTTAGAACTTTTTGCATAACATGTGATCGTTGCCAAATAACAGGAAATATAGGTTAAATAGACAAACTACCACAAACATCCATTCTCTCTGTCGAAATTTTTTATGTTTGGGGCATTGATTTCAAGGGTCCGTTTCCTCCCTCACATGGTTTCAATTATATTTTGCTTGTAGTTGATTATATGTCGAAATGGGTGGAAGTAAAAGCCACCCGTACTAACGATTCCAAAGTGGTTGCAAATTTTGTTAAAAATCACATCTTTTCTAGATTTGGGATGCTTAGAGTGCTCATAAGTGATGGAGTTTCTCATTTTTGCAATCGAACCATCGAGGCGCTACTCAAGAAATATAATGTCACGCATAAGGTTTCGACACCTTATCATCCCCAAACAAGTTGCCAAGTCAAGGCTTCGAATAGAGAAATCAAGTAGATTTTGGAGAAGACCGTTAGACCAACTAAAAAAGATTGGAGTTTGCATTTGGATGATGTACCGTGGGCATATCGTACGGCTTACAAAACACCCATTGGAATGTCCCCATTTTGGCTTATCTATGGAAAACCGTGCCATCTTTCCGTGGAATTAGAGCACAAGGCGTATTAGGCTGTCAAAACATTCAACATGGACATATATGCGGTTAGAATTCATAGGAAGCTTCAATTGAATGAACTTGAAGAGATTAGGCATGAGGCTTATGAGAATGCTCGCATTTACAAGGAGAAGACAAAGGCATTCCATGAGAAGATGATTCGTAGCAAGATATTCTTCATAGGGCAGAAAGTGTTACTTTTCAATTCCTGCCTTCGTTTGTTTCCCGGTAAGTTACATTCTAAATGGATTGGCCCATTTGTTATTACTAACATTTTTCCTTATGGTGCAGTCCAAATCCAAAGCTTCAAACCCGGCCAAGAATTCAAAGTGAACGCGCACCATTTAAAGCCTTACTACGACCTTTTTTAGGAGCATGTGGTGGAGGAAATACCCCTCCATGCCGTAGGCTCCAATGAAGCTTAAGGAGAGGTATCATCCAGCTGGACGTTAAAGCAAACGCTTCTTGGGAGGCAACCCATGTATTCAAATAAGGAAGACCTGGGAATCGCTCCACAACCAGATTTATGTTCCTAAACCCTTCTCTTTACTGCATTTATTTTGCCATGTTTGTCATGATTAGTTCGATTGTTTGTTTGTTTGGTATGAGTGTAAGTCTTTGTTTGAAACATTGGGGACAATGTTTGGTTTAAGTGTGGGGGGGGTAAACAAAGTGTTTTTCATTGATTTTCGTGGGATTTTACCACCTAGCACCACTAGAGTTGTTTTTCACTGTTTTTAAGTGTTTTTAGTGTGTTTTGAACTGTTTTAGTATGTTTTGAAAGAAAAATACGAAAATTTAACATAAAAAAGTAGAAAAAGTTTTGAAAAAACCAAAAAGAGTTGTTTTTGTGTGTTTATTTGTGTTTTAGGGTACCTTCCAACACAATGATGAGGATTTGGTTTTTAATTACATGACTGTTAAAGAAAGTTACAAACATGGGTGGAAATTTGATATGCTCTTTGGTTAGTACTTGGTTGTAGTTGACATTTAAGAATTCACAAGTAATCACAAAGGAAAAAAAATCAGTTTTTGTAACATGCTTGAAGGAAGGAACTCAAACTAATGCTACAACCCTGAGAGACTTGAGCCTAAACTTTGTTTAGAGAGT